GGGTGCTGAGACTTCGGGTGCTGACTCTGGGGGTGCTGCGAGTCCTTCTGGAGGTCGTGGAGCTGGAGGTACTGGAGCTACTAGGCCTGGAGGTACTACTGGAGGTACTAGAGGTACTACTGGTGCTGGAGGTACTGGAGCTGCTGCTGGTGCTGGAGGTGCTGGAGCTGCAGGTACTAGAGGTGCTTCTGGTACTGGAGGTGCTCGAGCTACCACTACTGGAGGTACTGGAGCTGGACAGCCACCGCAGACTGCTCTACTTGAGATGCTCTATCCGCAGGCGATTCGTGCGTGGGTCGTTCGGCAAGGCAGTCCTGGTGGTGGAGGGTACGGTCCTGCTGGTGCAGGAGCTACTAGTCCAGGAGGTGCTGGAGGTGCTGGAGGTACTACTGGAGGTACTAGAGGTGCTGCTGGTGCTGGAGGTACTGGAGCTGGAGGTACTGGAGGTGCTGGTGCTGGAGGTACTACTGTTACTGGAGGTGCTGGGGGTACTGGAGCTGCTGGCACTGGAGGTGCTGGTGCTACTGGTGCTGGAGCTGCGGGAGCTACTGACCCTGGAGATGCTGGTGCTGCTGGTGCTGGAGGCGATGGAGCAGGTGGTGCTGCTGGTGCTGGAGGTGCTGGAGGTGCTACTGGAGCTGCTGGCACGGAAGGTACTGGAGGTACTACTGGTGCTGGAGGCGCTGGAGTTCGAGCTGGAGGCACTGGAGGTACTGGAGGTACTACTGGTGCTCGAGGTGCTGGCGCTGTCGGAGCTCGTGGTACTGGAGGTGCTGGTGCTACTGGTGCTGGAGGTGTTGCTGGGGGTACTGGAGGAGCTGCTCGTGCTGGAGGTACGGGAGCTACTGGTGCTCTTCGCCACCTTCTCAGTCTTCCGCCAGGTGCTACTGACTTCCCTGTGGCAGGTACTACTCCTCAGTTACTGTTTCCACCGGCGGACCAGTCACAGCCGCCACTGCTACCGCACTCCCCACTACCTGCTCCTGCTCCTTACACTGCGGTGACATAGTCCCTGACTGAGCGTCGAGAGCCTGAGACTCGTGCTTCCACCACTGAGCGTCGAGAGCCTGAGTCTAGCTTTGACCTTGAGCCCGAGCCTAGAGCTGCTGTCCGTGCTCGTGTTCCTCGTGTTCGTCGTCTACGTGCTCCGGCTGTCCCGGGCACTCACGATATGACACTCCGTCCTTCCTCTGTTCCACAGCGTGTTGTCCTACCGTTACCTCCTGCGTCCTCTCTTCCTGACATTGCTGACCCTCCGTCTGACCTTGCTCGTGCGTCCAGTCCGACTGTTACTCGCTTCCTTGCTACGGTTGTGACAGACCCTACGTTCTCGTGTCCTGCTGCGTCTGCCTTAGTCGCTGAGCTCGTTGACTTTGCTGCTGTGTACCGCCTAGACTACCTTGCGAGCCTTGTTTCTGACCCTGACCCTACCTGTCCTCTGTCCGTCGGGGGTGAGACTGCCCTTGGCTGTACTGCCCTTGGCTGTGACGTTCTTGAGGACAGATAGGAGGAGCTGGAGTGCCTTGCGGCCGCTTCGCCCCATCACGCGACCATGCTGCTTGCCCCTGAGGGAGACCCGGATGCACTTGACATCCCCACCCCGCGCTCCTACAGGGAGGGGATTTCGGGTGAGTACTCCTCTCAGTGGCAGACAGCCATGGACGCAGAGATGGCTTCCTGGAAGTCCACAGGCACCTACGTCGACGAGGTTCCCCCACTTGGGGCGAACATCGTCAGTGGCATGTGGATTTTCAGGGTGAAGCGGCCGCCGGGTTCTCCGCCTGCCTTCAAGGCACGTTACATTGCTCGAGGCTTCAGTCATCGTGAGGGGGTCGACTTCTTTCAGACCTTCTCCCCCACCCCGAAGATGACCACTCTTCGGGTGTTGCTACACGTTGCAGCTCAGCGTGACTACGAGCTGCACTCCCTCGACTTCTCGACAGCTTTCTTGCAGGGTAGCCTTCACGAGGCCATCTGGTTGCGCCGTCCACAGGGCTTCACTGGGTCGTTTCCTGAGGGTACCCAGTGGAGCCTACGGCGACTAGTGTACGGCCTGCGTCAGGCGCCCCGCGAGTGGCACGGCACACTGAGAACGACACTTGCGGCTCTTGGGTTTGCTCCTTCGACTGCTGACCCGTCGCTGTTTCTACGCACCGACACGACTCTGCCGCCGTTCTACATCCTCGTGTACGTCGACGACTTGGTTTTTGCTACTGCTGACACTGAGGCACTGGCCCTAGTGAAGTCGAGCTGCAGGAGAGACACACCTGCACTGACCTGGGTGAGCTGCGGAGCTATCTTGGCTTGCAGATCACCCGGGACAGAGCACGGCGCACCATCACCCTGACTCAGTCACACATGGTGCACCAGGTCCTTCAGCGCTTCCGCTTCACGTACTCCTCGCCACAGCCCACTCCTCTGGCTACCGGCCACTCGCTCTCAGCTCCACCTTCGGACGAGTCCGTAGAGCCGAGTGGTCCATACCCAGAGCTTGTGGGTTGCCTCATGTACCTGATGACGTGCACACGACCTGACCTCGCGTACCCTCTCAGCCTCTTGGCTCGCTACGTGGCACCTGGTCGACACCGAAAGGTGCACTTTGATGCTGCGAAGAGGGTACTGCATTACTTGTGCAGCACATCGGGCATGGGGCTCGTGCTTGGAGGACGGGGTTCAGTGGTCCTCACTGGACACTCTGACGCTTCTTGGGCCGACGAACAGGCGACTCAGCGTTCGTCACAGGGCTACACCTTCAGTCTTGGCGCTGGTTCTGTCTCGTGGAGGTCCACTCGTTCTTCTTCTGTTCTTGGTTCCAGCTGTGAGGCCGAGATCTACGCTGGGGCCATGGCTGTACAGGAGCTCCGCTGGCTGACCTACTTGCTGACCGACTTGGGGGAGCGGCCTCGTTCTCCTCCAGTTCTGTACGTCGACAACAAGGCAATGCTTGCCTTGTGTCGCGAGCAGAGACTGGAGCACCGAACGAAGCACATTGCTCTTCGCTACTTCCTTGCGCGTGAGCTGCAGCAGCGTGGTCACCTACGCCTTGCTTTCGTGGCCTCTCGGGCCAACACTGCTGATGTCTTCACCAAGGCCCTTGGGGCTGGTGATCATCAGCGTTTCTGCACTGCTCTTGGGCTTGTGCCCACTCTGCCTCACCTGCTGGTTGCTTGACTTGCTCTTGTTGTACACTGATATATATCTTTATACCTGCTTGTTTACTCTTGCTAGGTTGTGATCAGTGTACTGCCTTGCTATTATAACTCTGCATGTGAATTGGTCTTGTGGTTGCTTGCTTGTGCTCAGACTGTGTGGTGTCCTTGAGATCCACTCTGAGCTTTGCTTTGCTTTGCTTGTTCTCTTGCTTGACTGATCTTGTGACCGTCTGTTGTGTTTGCTATCTCCCACTTAGCCTATGGGGGTGTGTCAAACTGTATGTTTGTGTTATCTTTAGGCTATAATGGGTTAGCCTACAAGGGGTACAACACTTTAGGGTTAGGTACTTGTACTCATGCATGCTACCTAGTCCACCATTCATGCCTGCTTATTTTAACTACTGGAGCACTGAACGAAGCACATTGCTCTCCGTTACTTCCTCACGCGAGAGCTGCAGCAGCGTGGTCAGCTTCGTCTTGCTTACGTGACCACACAGGCCAACACTGCTGATGTCTTCACCAAGGCCCTTGGGTCTAGTGATCATCAGCGTTTTTGCACTGTTCTTGGGCTTGTGCCCACTCTGCCTCACCTGCTTGTCTATTGATCTTGCCTTGCACTTGCTGTACTCTGATATATATTATTGTACCTGCATGTTTTCTCTTGCTAGGCTGTGATCAGAGTACTGCAATTGCTTTTATAAACTCTGCATGTGAACTGGCCTTGTGGCCGCTTGCTTGTGCTCAGAATGTGTGGTAATCTTGAGATCCACCCTGAGCTTTGTTCTTCTTTGCTTTGTTCTCTTACTTGACTGGTCTTGTGACCGCTTGTTGTCCCCCACTTAGCTTATGGGGGTGTGTCAAAGTATGCACTTATAGTGCTGTAGTCTATACTGGAATACACTGTAGAGGGGACAACCCTTTTTGGGTTTACCACTTGTATTTCCATCCTGCATAGTTCATTCATTCCTGTTTCCATGTTCCAACAATACAGTACGGTATTACAATGCAACAGTGTGTGTAACAGTATCCGGTTCAGTTATGTTATAGCACTTGAGCATATACGGTGCTGCAATAATGTTACTAAATTATTATATATACTACATAAACTCAATAAGCTTACAAGGAAGCAGGCGGCCGTTCCTCTGCACCCCTTACAAACCCTTTTGACTCTCATTTTCCGGCCGCACCTGAGCCTTTCACTCCCGCCTTACATACCGGAGGCCGACAGCCAGCCCGCGCTGCACTGCACTCCCATAAGTCATCCCCTCACTATCACCAAGCACTGTCCCGCACGTCACACATGAGAGGCCGACACCAAGCACAGAAAAGCAAGCCCCTCTCTGCACCCCCATTGTCCTCCCATCACAATTTCTGAGGCTCCTCAAAAAGAGGCCGACACCAAGCACTGAACCACCGACACCAAGCACTGAACCGCAAGCCCTGCTCTACACCCCCATAGTCCTCCTGACATCCACACATGTTCCACCAACGCCTCTCGCATCACGCAAGTGAGGCCCACAGCGACAGCAAATCTGCACTCCCATGAAAACCCTCCTCTTCCCCCACCCTCATCACACCAACTCCTCGCGTAACTCACGCACGGGAGGCCGACAGCGACCACTGCATCATCCGTGCCTGATGCCCACTGCTGCACATGCTCTCCGTGTGGCTCTCATGTTTCCGCGTCCTCTCTCACCTACCAGCCTCTCTCGCACTTCATGCATGGGAGGCGGGCAGCGACCGCTGCATCATCCGTGCCTGCTGCCCCTCGATTCGCGCCCTCTCACTGTGGCTCTCATGCGTTCGCGGCCTCGCTCCCCCACCCTCATCCCACCAGTCCCTCGCACATCACATATGGGAGACCGGCATTGATCGCTGCATCATCAGCCGCCGTGCCTGCTGCCCACTGCTGCCCGCCCTCTCCATGTGGCTGTCAGGAGTTCGTGAAACTCCAGCAGCAGCAGCAGCAGCAGCAGCAGCAGCAGCAGCAGCAGCAGCAGCAGCAGCAGCGGCATCAGCAGCAGCAACAGCAGCAGCAGCAGCAGCAGCAGCAGCAGTGCCGCCACCAGCAGCAGCAGGAGTGCCAAATCCCACTGCCTTGCTCTTGTGATGGCCAAAGCTGGCAAAATCAGGCATGTGTGGAAGATGCAAGCTCCGAGCACCACTGGCCAAGTCAGGCATGTGCGGTAGATGCAAGCTGCGTGCGCCACTGGCGAAATCAGGCATGTGTGGAAAGTGCACTGCATGGCCGCTCAAAAACCCGTGCCCTCCGCCCTCCCTCTGACCCCCTTCCCTCTGACTCCCCCCCCGGATACTCCTAAAGAGCGCCTTCAGCCTAGCAGAAGCACCTTTACACTCTGGACAAATAGACGCCCCACTGCCTTCCGCCCCTCCATCACCTCCCAATCCTCCCCGGCCACTCTGCGACATCTGCAGCAGCTGCAGCGAGTGCACCTCATTCAAATGCTCATTCCACCGCCATATATCCCCGTCCACATTCTTAGACCACTCCGGAAGCTCCCGCTTCTCAATAAAATGCGCCACCACTCTCAAAATCCTCGGATCCCGGAAATACGCCCCGTGATTCAAATCACAGCGCCCTGTAATCTCCCCCACGCGCTCCTCGATCAGCACACACAGCTGCTGCAACTGCCGCTCAAACTCCCTGTCGCTCAACCGAGGGTTGCGACCCATGGTGGGGAGCTGGGACTTGAGGCGCTGGAACGTTTGCGACTGCTCGGCTAGTTTGGAGAGCTCCCGGTCATCCCAGAGGAACTCAAAGGCCAGCTTCTCACGCGGGTCCCTGGCAGTGCTTGTACCGGCAGGACCGGGGCCAGCACGAGTGGGAGCAGCGCCAGATGGAGCACCGGATGAAACAGGACCGGGACCAGGTGAAACTATCTCAGCTGCACTCTCACTCTCCCCGTCCCCATCCCCTTCTCCCTCACCCGTTTCTGTCCCACCTGCCAGGCACCCAAGCCGCCCTCCCTTGCTGCCCTCCTTGCTCCGCGCACCGCCTGTGCGCCTCAGCAGCAGCCCTCGCGCCCCCCGTCGCCTCCGGAACACGCTGTGAGTGCTCTTCCTCACCGCAGCAGCCCCCTCGTTTCCGCCTCCCTCCCCACTTCCACTACCCTCCTCGCACGAGGGGGGTTGCACAGTGGCAGCAGGGGGCAGCTTGAGCCACTCGGGCTGCTGCTGCACAGTGGCAGTGCCGGTGCTGCTGCCGTCAAAAACAGGCGTGCGGTCACGGCGATGGGCGGCAGGGGACGGCTCCAGCCAATCGGGTTGCTCCACGGTGTCGTCCTCATAGCCGGGCATGAGCTCTCCCTTGAGCGACTTGGTCTTTGCCTCTGCCAGCAGTTTCTGAGAGAGGAAGGGGTGGGATATGGTGACGGTCAGAAGTGAGACGGGGAGGGTGATGATAAGAGATGGGTCATCGCCGGGCATGAGCTCGCCCTTTAGCGACTTGGTCTTTGCCTCCGCCAGCAGTTTCTGAGAGAGGAGAATGGGGGATGGTGCGGAGAGGGGGTGAGAAAGGGGAGAGGGGGTGACAAAGGGGGTTGAGTGGGTAGATGGGAGAGAGAGAACGAGGACGAGGGAAGTGAGAGGGAGAGAGGGGACTGGTTCGAGCCAATCGGGTTGCTCCACAGTGTCGTCCTCATAGCCGGGCATGAGCTCTCCCTTGAGCGACTTGGTCTTTGCCTCCGCCAGCAGTTTCTGAAAGGGGGGGAAAGGGGCAAAGGGAGATGGGGAGGAGAGCAGCGGGGGGAGAAAGAGGTGGGAGAGAGTGAGGGAGGGAACTGGCTTAAGCCAGTCGGGTTGCTCCACGGTGTCGTCCTCATGGCCGGGCATGAGCTCGCCCTTGAGCGACTTGGTCTTCGCCTCTGCCAGGAGTTTCTAAAAGGGGGTGAAGGGGACAGGGGGGGGGAGAGGAGGGAGAATGAGCAGGGAGAAAGGGGTGAGAGAGGGGACGAACATCAGCTCGCCTTTGAGTGACTCGGACTTTGCCCCAGCAAGAAGTTTCTGCGGAAGAGGGAGAAGGGAGAGGGTGAGTGGTGAGGGGTGAGGGGTGAGGGGAAACTAGCTCCATATCCAGATGCTCTCCCACATACACATACACGTAGACCAAGCAGGTTTGGGTGCCAGTAATACCTATACCAACCAAACCAGCTTGCACGTTCCCATCCTTCCCTGTTACCAGCCTGCACGTTCCCATCGTTCCCTGTTACCAGCCTGCACGTTCCCATCCTTCCCTGTTACCAGCCTGCACGTTCCCATCCTTCCCTGTTACCAGCCTGCACGTTCCCATCGTTCCCTGTTACCAGCCTGCACGTTCCCATCGTTCCCTGTTACCAGCCTGCACGTTCCCATCCTTCCCTGTTACCAGCCCACATGACCGCCCGTCCATGTTCCGTACCTGCACGTTCCAGTCATCCACTTGCTGCGCAGGAAGCACCATGTCCAGATGCTCGCCCACATACACAGGCGCATAGCTCAGGGAAGTGTGGGTGGCAGTGACGGTATATCAACACACACTGGTACCCCTCTAAATCACCCCGCATGTTTCCGCCCTTCTATGTTACATACCTGCACGTTCCAGTGGTCGACTTGCTGCGTGGCCAGCTCCATGTCCAAATTCTCGTCCACATACACGTATGCATAACTCAGGTCCCCCGGAGACAGCCCAAAGCTGACCGCCACCACAGCCTGCTGAATCCACCCGGTCACCAGCGGCGCGATGAGGTGCGAGAAGAGGGACAAGACGGCTGCAGGGAGGAAGAAGAGAATGTCCCACACGAGCACGACCATGCAGTGACACAGGTACGCCCACCACACGCGCTGGGGGGCGTAGCGTGTGGGGGGCTTTGGGAGCGGCGCCCAGGGGGTCTGCTTCAGGAGTTTTGTCAGGTGCGGGAAGACGTAGGCTCGCGTGATTGGCTCCATGGATAGGGCGAGGCTCGCCTGGGGGGGGGAGGGGAAGAGGGAACGGTGAGGGGGAGGGAGGGGGAGGGGAGGAGAGGAAAGGGAGGCGGGGAATGGGAGGCGGAAGGGGAGTGGGGGGGAAGGCAAGGTGGGTGCTTCATTCAAGAGAGGGCAAAGCAATGAAGAGACGAGTAAGGTGAGGAGAGGGGGAAGAGTGAAGGAAGGTGGGAAACGTGATATGCTATACGATCAGTCGATGGGCACTTGCCTGGTGTGGTGAGTGAACGAGGGTGGGGACGAACGGGGGTGGCAGGGGGTGGCAGGGGGTGGCAGGGGTTGGCAGGGGGTGGCAGGGGGTGGCAGGGGTTGGCAGGGGGTGGCAGGGGGTGGCAGGGGGTGGCAGGGGGTGGTAGGGGGTGGTAGGGGGTGGCAGGGGGTGGCAGGTTGCCGGCGTGAATGATCAGGGCGGACATGGCAGGCGAGCAGTGGAAGGGCACTCGCCCTGTGAGAGACGACACGTGCGGGGTGGTACGGGATGCTTGGGGGGATGCTAGAGGGGTTGGATTGACTCACCTCATCGAGCTTGCCGGCGTGAATGACGAGGGCGGACATGGCAGGCGACCAGTCGAAGGCCGGGTTGTGGTAGAGGTTGCCGCTGTACCGCACTGTGTTGCCCGTGGCCTGACGTGGGGAGGTTGGGGAATGAAGGGATGAGAAGCGAGGAGAGAAAAAATGCGGGGTGAGAGAAGGGTTGTGGTAGAGGTTGCTGCTGTAGAGCACTGTGTTGCCCGTGGCCTGAGATGAGATGGCGCGGGTTGGGACGGTGGAGAGGGGTGGGAGGGTGGAGAGAGGTGAGAGGGTGGAGAGAGGTTGGAGGGTGGAGAGAGGTTGGAGGGTGGAGAGAGGTGGGAGGGTGGAGAGAGGTTGGAGGGTGGGGAGAGGTGCGAGGGTGGAGAGAGGTTGGAGGGTGGGGAGAGGTGGGAGGGTGGAGAGAGGTTGGAGGGTGGAGAGAGGTGGGAGGGTGGAGAGAGGTGGGAGGGTAGAGAGAGGTTGGAGGGTGGAGAGAGGCTGGAGAGGTTGATGGCATGGCTGTGTGGTTGCCGTCCCAATCACATCCATGGTAAAACTTCCACCAGCGCCCCAATAAAACTACATCCACCACTCACTCTCCCCACACCCACATCTCAGTACACTCACACCTGGGCACACTCACACCTCCGTACGCCCATGCTTCGTTACACTCACGTCCATGATCTGCTTGACCAGCACGAGCAGCATGATGCCCGTGTCTTTGCCCTCCCACTCCCAGTTATTGTAGTGCCACGACCAACACATCTCCATACCCCCACACCTCGTTACACTCACGTCCATGATCTGCTTGACCAGCAAGAGCAGCATGATGCCCGTGGCGATGAGGAAGTTGAGCAGCAGGATGAGGTGAGGGCCCGACTCTGCATAGAACCTGCGGGTGGTTGGGGCAAGACACAAAGGTGGGAGAGGAGAGGAGGGATGGGAGAGGAGGGATGGAGAGGAGGGATAAGAGAGGAGGGATGGGCGAGGAGGGATGGGGAGGAGGGATAGAGAGGAGGGATGGGAGAGGAGGGATGGGCGAGGACTAGACAGGGATGAGATGGGCCTAGAAGGACGAATGCACAGGGAGAGTAGATCTGTGAAGAGGAAGTGCAACGGTGGCAACATGTGAGGTGACTTTTGAGTCGACTCAAAAGATCTGTGAAGAGGAAGTGCAACGGTGGCAACATGTGAGGTGACTTTTGAGTCGACTCAAAAGATCTGTGAAGAGGAAGTGCAACGGTGGCAACATGTGAGATGACGTTTGAGTCGACTCAAAAGATCTGTGAAGAGGAAGTGCAACGGTGGCAACATGTGGTAACAAACACCGGCAGGCCCACAAACATCACAGCCAGCACTAAAGACAAAGCTCAAATCACAGCCACCACCAAGAGCACTCTTCGAATCACACCACTCACTCTTGCGGGCGGCCCTCCATGAGCAGTACAAGCAGCTCCCACAGCGCCGTGTAGGCGAGAATGAAGAGGTACGTGAACAGCACAGCACACCACCCACCCCCACGGACAGCACACCCCCCACCCCCACGGACAGCAGCATGCGCACGAACCCGCACAATCACAGCCACCACTGATAGCGCTGTTCAAGCCAAGCCATAGCCACTCACTCTTGCGGGCGGCCTGCCATGAGCAGCACGAGCAGCTCCCACAACGCCGTGTACGCGAGAATGAAGAGATACGTCAGCAGCACGCCCGCCCCCACAGACAGCAGCATGCGCGCGAAGCCGTGGCGCTGCCACTTCTTGATGTAAAACGGCGTGCCCAGGAACACCAGAGAGCCCAGCGCGTTGGTGACAGGGGACGTGGCCTGGCGGAAGGAGAGGAAGCGGCGCTGGCGCACGGATGGGAGGTTGAGGAGGGAGTCCAGCCATTGGTGGAGCGCCCATGGGTAGGTCTCCTTCACCCCGCTCACCTTTTGCCCGTTGAACCTGCCCGTGGGGAGGTGGGGAGCATGCGGGGTGGGTGGGGTAGGAACCGATGCAGAGGGGTAGAGAAAGGTTATTGACCCCCATTACTGCCTCACTTCCCCTCTCACTCATTTCCAAACAACACAAGGAGGAATAAGGGCAACCGGGCGACCTGCCCCAGTTATTACCTCCATCCGACTCCCCACCCATGTGTGTTGTTATTCGAATCTCAATTGCCCCACTCACTCCCTCCCTACACTCCCTCCCCCACTCACCCTCGGTACACAACGAGGAAGGGGAAGAAGCGCCACCACGAGTCGTACAACTCCAGCCGCCGCCACTTTCTGATTAAATCGTAGCTGCGCCGGTGTGCCGCCCAGAACCGCTGCGCCACCGCCGGGTGCCACTCCGCCTTGGGGCGCCGCGCCAGCTTCGCCATGTACTGCGTGCGGGGGGTGGCGGGGGCGGGGGGTAAAGGGGAAGGGGTGGGGGGAAGGGGGATTGGTGTACTGAAGCGGAGAAAGGGGGAGAAGCTGGTGGGGAATGGATGCTTTCATGCGTCCTCGGGGCGCTGCGCCAGCTTCCGCCATGTACTGCGCGGACGGGGGCGGGGGAGGTTGGGTGGGGGGTTGAGGGGAAGGTTAAGGGAAAAGAGTGGAGAGAAGGGGGGTGAGAGTTGGTGCGGGAAGAGGGTGAAGCTCTGCGAAATTCGCATCTAGGGTAACCAGCTTCAATTCCAAAACCTTCTTCAACGAAATGAACAATAGCATCCGCAGTTGGCAACACCAGACGTACACGGCTCGCCATAGCTTACTATCTGTACAACGTGGGCCGCCTTCAAGCTAGACTCACCAGCTCGATCGTCTTGAGCAGCACGTTCCCGCCGTGCGCGCCACGAGGTGACTATTGAGGTGCCTCAAAAGCATTCGTTTTGCTCACCAGTTCGATGGTCTTGAGCAGCACGTTTCCGCCGTGCGAGTGCGCCACGAGGTGGATCCGCGCCGCTGGGTCGTTCTGCGCGATCTGATCGAGCAGGTTGTGCAGCTGACAGGGGGCAGCCAGGCAGGGAGAGGAGAGGGAGATATCGGGGAAACATCTTTGAGACGTCTCAAAAACATCGTTCTGAGCGATCTGGTCGATCAGGTTGTGCAGCTAACAGGGGGCAGCCAGGCGAGAAGATACAGAGATGGAAAGAATCTATAAGTGTAACAGCGAATATGAAATAGTTTGTGTATATCACTCGAGAATACAAGGAAGCAGCAGATGAGATCGAGAGGACTCAGAGGCGGAAAGTTTCCGCCTCGCGCAGGCTCACTGTTAGGGCTCAAAATTGGCTCTGGCAGGGCCAGATCTGGTCAGCGCAGCTAATTCACTGTTATCACAGCACAACCGTTATCAGCATCCGCCGCTCACCTTCATCGCCGCCGTTACGCGCCCCGCATGCGTGTTCGAGCCGTCCCAGTGGAACGGGTACGGAATTCCCGGGAGCGCGGAGCACGGCAGGTCGCGCCAGACCGCGTCCTGCCCGATCGGCCCGAGCGCGAGCAGCCGGCTGAGTTTCCGGCAGAAGTTCTGCTCGCCAGCAGGCGGCGGTTGATACCACATCGGCGCGCCGTCGGCGGGCGGCGCGTCAAACGTGCCGTGAATCACGATCACGTAGTGGTTCTCGCTGCTGATGTCGAAGTCCACGCGTCGCACGCGGATTGGTGCTTCGATGTCGTTCGGTTTCCCGTCATTTGCCTCTCCGCTTCCGGCGCCGCCGCTCGCGGCGCTTCCTACGGAAAGGGATTTTTCAAACTGCTTTCGCGAACTGCTGTCGCCATCGCCGGAGGCGTCGTCGGATTCGTCTTCGCTGCATTCGACTGCGACTTTATTGCTCAGGCCGCAAATAAATCGACATTGAACTGTCGGTTCCGTTGAACCGTTCGCTTGGCCGTCTACTGACGTGGAATCTAACGCTTCGCTGGTATCTTGCCGTGGACTCCGCCGGTGCGGGTTGATCGTTAACCTGCTAATTAGGGGTAATTCGTCACCGGCGCCCTCGGCGACGTCGCTTTCTGCATGCGACCTGGCTGCTTCGTCGCTTTCTATCATCTCAAGATAGGTGGAGTGGTTCTCTCCGTTATCGTCACGAAAGTTCCGTGAATCCACCCGTATTGACAAGTGTGCTTCGGCCATTTCCGTATGAGAAAGTCGTTGGTCGGTTGCTATGATCGCCAGTTCTCGCGAAGTGATTACGGAGGTAACGCACAGGATTATAGTTTTGAGTGAAAGCAGGGTATCAACAAGGTTGCGTTGGTCTAAAATCCAGTTACTGGTTCCTGAAGAACTCCAGTGAAAGAGGGAGATGCCAAGCAGAACGAGAAGCAGCAGTGTACAGATCTGTACAAAGCTTTGCCCCGTGGTGATGGTGCTTGCTGGTGGTTGACTTATTTTCTGCAAGCAGACACGAGAACGTGAATAGCGCAGTGAATGCGCGTGCGCAGGCAAATTTTCGTTGGGTCTTCCCAAATGTGTGGAACGACCCGACAACGCTTGGAGGTTCACATAGATAAAAAAGAGTCCAACCAAACCAAAGATCCATAAAGATCAGTCGTGTTTATGGGGTGTATTCCAGAGAGAGTTGGTTGAGGGTTGGGATGGATAATATTGTTTAGGGTCTAGTGGATGGTGATGAAAATCTTTTCAGTGGCACACCCCTTCATATCGACTTCTCCCATGAAGTTGCTCTCACTGAACGGGCCAACCGATTTTTCCCGTCAGCCAGCGAAGCACCAAGAACATGGAACAGCATTGCAGAGGTTGCTTTCGATTGGTCGAATTTGGTCAACGACAGGCGACAACCGCATCGCCCGCCAAGTGATGTGTTTTCAATTGGTGGAGTCAGGTTCCTTCTACCAAAGGTGTTTGGCTGAATCCCAGGCTTTACGGTGCGGTACGAGGGAACATCTGGAGCTTGAATGATTGGGTTGTTGGCTGCTGTGCTCGGTCACTGTTCCTGGCAGTCGTGTCTCCTCCACCCCACGTTCCATGATGACGAGGTTGTTCGGGCGTTTCCTTGTGCAAGGAAACCAATGGCGGTTTAGGGTTATCCTAGGCAGTCTGGAACTCGACTTATTTCTTGTTGAGAATCCTGGAAATAAGTTCCCGCATGTACTTGAATTGTTACTTTTTTCTTGCGTCGCACCTCACTTCACCATATCAACACTTTTTATGGGCCTCCTCTTCTTCGATCTCCCCAACATCTCACACCAGCTAATGCCCAACCATCAAACATTGAATACCATTATGCCTAGTCGCCATTCGATGCCTATTTGTCCGAGGCCGACCGTCGCTATGCTGGGGCTCTGCGGAGGATTTTCCGTGGGACGAATCCGCTACTGGACGATGTTGAATTTTGGCTGCGTGACGGTCTTCCTAAGCACCTGCCTATCCCTATTCTGAATAAATTTGCCGACACCCTTCCACTAAAAACCGTGATTCACGTCTACCCTCTCCCAGGGGCATGCACATTGTTACGAATAGTAAACTGTGAAGTATTATGCACCCCTAACAGTAACAACCAAGGAACGCAATGAAGAGTATGAAGGCGAAAAGAAGGAATGACGCGAAGAGTCGCGAACGGTTAGACAGCATCTGGACCGTCGGAGCAGAAGCATCGGGCAACTAGAGTGGCGAGGATTATGGCGGAAACAGGTTCGTAACCGTACGAAGTCGCAATTTCAATGCAATGAAGGAATGTACCCCTTAGCGTACATGGCTAGTCTAGGTTGCGCTGCCACCCCCGAAACCTTTGATAACTATGTTTTAAAGTATTTAGGAAGGAGTGTCGAGTAAGGAGTGGCTAGTGAATGAAAGTGAGGAGATACAAGTGTCAACCTAGAAAGTGTTGTACCCTTCAAAGGGCAACTCACTATAGCCTAGAGTAACTAACGATATCCAAATGAAATCAACATTTGACACACCCCCATAGGCTAAGTGAGGGGCATCAAACCAACCAAGGGAAACAGATGGTCACAAGACCAGTCAGGAGAAGCAAGAAGAAAACGTTCAGGGTGGATCTCAAGATCACCACACATTCCGAGCACAAACAAACGGCCACAAGGTCAGTTCAAGAGTTCACAAAAATATATAGATGCAAGGACAAGCATAGCAACAAGCAAGAAAAAATGCTACAGCAACCGAGCACCAGCGTCAACAAGGCCTAACCGCAGACAGATTCTGTGGTGGTCACTAGACGCTAGGGCCTTGGTGAAAATGTCTGCTGTGTTGGCCGATGAGGCCACGAAGTCCAAGCGAGCCTGGCCGCATTGCTGCAACTCTCGCAGGAGAAAGTACCTCACGTCGATGTTGCTTCACTCGACAAAGGAGGAGCATGACCATGTTGTCAGCGAACAAGGTCGGTGCAGAATGACGCCGCTCACAAAGGTCAACGAGCAAGAAAGTCAACCAATGAAGCTCCTGCGCAGCCATGGCCCCAGCGTTGATCTCTGCCTATGCGCTGGACTGTGCCCCAGACGACGACCGAGTAGACCTCCACAACACAACTCCGGCACCCAAACTGAAGGCGTAGCCCTGAGTAGACCGCCGGGTCTCCACGTCGTCGACGTACGAAGAGTCGCAGTGACCGACCAGTACAACTGGCTGTCTCCTTCCAACCACAAGCCCCGCGCCTGATGTAGTCACCGGGTACTTTGCCACCCTCACAGCAGCCGTCCAGTGCACAGGACGGTGTCTCCTAGTCGCAACAAAGCGAGAGAGAATGCTGAGGGGAAAAACGAGATCTAGACAGGTACAAGTCATCAGGTACATGAGGCAGCCCTCAAGATTTGCGTACGGACCACTAGACGCAAAAGGCTCATCGGAAAAGGGCTGGTGAATCTGTGGTCGACAGTAACACAAGTGGGCTGTCTGTTGGAAAACTGAAGCCCGAACCGCTCAAGGACCTGGTGCACCATGCTTGAGAGTATAATGGTGCAAGCGGCTTTGTCCCTGGTGATCTGCAAGCCAAGGTAGCGGCGCAGTTCACCAAGGTCAACGCACGTGTGTCTCTTCTGCAGTTCGGTCTTCATCTCAGTCAGAGCAACCCCGTCTGCTATAGCGAAGACCAAGTCGTTGAGTAGACCATAACAAAGAAAGGAGTGGAGCCTTTGCGAACAAATAGCGATTGGTCGGCGGACGAAGGGCAGAAACCGAGGTCAGCCAATGTGGTGCGTAGCGTGTCGTGCGACTCACGGGGCGCCTGGCGGAGACCGTAGACTGGTCGCCTCAAGCTCCACTGGGTCTCACTGTATCCTCTACTCCTATCTTTGACTAATATCGTGGTGCTCGCCCTATTGTGTCTCGTGTCCTCGCTTCTCTTGTCACTGGCCCTCGTGCCTCTCCGTCGTCTGTCTCGGCTCTTTTTGCCGATGTCGCTGACTTTACTACCACCCGCACCCTTGACTACGCCACGCGTGTGGTGGCTGCATGTCCTTTGTCCGTCGGGGGTGAGTCTGCTCTTGGATGTGACGTCCTAGGGGACAGGTAGTTTGAGCTGGAGTTCTTACCAGCCACTTCTCCCTTCCTCTGTGCCATGCTGCTTTCTGATGAGGGAGACCCCAACGCCCTTGACATTCCGACTCCTCACACGTATCGTGAGGCAGTGTCAGGGAAGTGGGCCTCATAGCAGAAAGTGGCCATGGACTCAGAGATGGCAACTTGGAGATCCACATGCACCTACATCGACGCAGTTCCCCCTCCCAGGGAGAACGTAGTCGACGGCATGTGATCTTCAAGGTGAAGCGGCCGCCTGGATCACTGCATGTCTTCAAGGCACGCTACGTGGCTAGGGGTTTCAGTCTACACGAGGAAGATGACTTCTTTCAGACCTTTGCCCCGACCCCAAACATGACCATTTTTCGAGTGTTACTTCATGTAGCAGCACAGCGATACTACGAGTTGCACTCCCTCGAATTCTCCACTGCCTTTCTCCAGGGCCGCCTTTACGAGGAGATCTGGCTGCGCCGTCCTTGTGGCTTCACTTGCACTTTCCCTCCTAGGAG